GTATGCACTCATATATCCATGCAGCACCGCGGCCGCTTCATATCAATCCCTTCGCTTCATATTTTACTTAGCAAATGAAGCAATACGAGCATCAGGTACAGTCGTCCATTTGTGGGCGGGCGCGGTGGGCGTCCGGATCGGTATGTTGCAGCTTGATAGGTCCCTATAAGGGTGCCTTCTCTGGAGAGGCGCTACGCAGCGCCTGCTCAGGGGCGCGGAATGCTCCTTCCTGCCAGGCGTATTAATCCTACTCATCTTCAGGGATTTATCGTGCCAACTGCCTTTAGTCGTGGATTGTCCTTCGACCAAGATGAAACCATCAAAAATGTTCAGAAGGGGCTTTTCAAAGAGCAGATTTTAGAAATGGCCATAAAAAATGAAAGGAATGAATGTTTGGATCTTAGAGTATGTATTCATTTTTACGCTCGATTTGATGTCGTTTTCTACCTATCACAGGTGTGTCTAGAAATTTGCCTACAGCTGTGCTTGCCACTGAGTAAAACAGCGTTGAGACTCAACGCGCTGTGCGCTGTATTGCGCGCTGCTGAACTGTCCGGCGCGATAAGTCTGAAAGCTGCCCAACACAAATTACCATCTTCCCCATTTCTGTCATAACCACAGTTGGGTTGACGGTGTTCACTCGGATTCCATACTGTCCTAGTTCCTTCGCGAGACACCTGCTTGCCATATCCAGAGCGGCTTTAGTGACACCTAAACAAATACTTCTCAAGACTGCGCGAAACAGTTAAGGCATAAATAATATAAAGAAGTCCAAGAACGAAGGAAGAAGAAAAAAGAGAACTCTCAACCCATGGCTCACGGTCAGCAGCGTGGGACACTTCAGTTGAACACGGTATCGAGCATAAGTACAGAACTTATCAGCGCACGACTTCTCTGTTTGAGGCCATCTTGCACCATCCCTCTAAGGTTCCTGTGCACTAGGAACTGTGGTAACTGAGTTCCTTTATACAGCAAGGGTAGGCTACTGGTACATCGGCTTTTCTCTGCAATACCCTCCGTATTTAGGCACGTGTATGTGGCTCGGGTCATCTGACTGCGTCCACGATCCTAAGGGAGATCCAAATTCCTGGCTCTTTCAGAAACGGGACATGGCATCTCTCGTCCGCAGATGGGCTGGACTTCTTGAGAGGAAGGCGTTCTATCGCAATTGTGGTACACTTTCTGTAACTGAGGACCAGATCACTTGTACAAGAGTAAGGAACCCTACCTATCAGGTACTCGCGGAATGGGTCTTTTTATTCGGAACTCTGGAGGTAACCTCATCAGGTAGAAAAGTCATCGGTAAAATGACAGCAGTAGTCAAAATGAAAAGGCTGACACTTTTACATGGGGTGTGCTACTTACTTATATGCTATATGTGTATACTTATATGTATTATTACTATACTATCACTTACTTATATGTATTATTATTATTATTTACTTATTACTGATATGTATGTGCTTATTGTTAAAAAGCCAATTGAAAATTAGCGTTTTCATGCTTGCCAACATACAGTATGCTAAATGATCCTTCAAAGGTCTTTTAGATGCTTGCGACGAAACGTTAACAATAGCTCCTTTTATGTCATTCTCAATCATTCCGTTAGCCACAATTTTGAGAGGAGGATATCGATTTATGATAATATCCAGTGGAAGCATACTTCATTAAGGAATCCTCCCTCAGCTCCTGGCAGGATTCAAGGATCGATATTCCGGCATTATTTATGAGAAAGTGAAATGGTTGATGTTGTGCAAGAATTGATGACAATACTGATTCGGATGATGTGACGTCGGCAATAACAGTGGTAACGTTGCGATACTGCAATTACCTAACTACAGCGGATGTTTTTATTTATATTATATTTATTTCACGCCTTTCACTGATTCTCTTCGGGAACAAACTATACACTCTTCTACAGCGACGATCCTTCTCATGTGCTGGGAGAGGGTCCAAAGCTGCAGTAAGGTGCCACTTTCTCCGCTCAAAAGTGCACGGGAACTGGGCTGGAGGGTAGGGTTACCCAGGTGCCCCCGCAAACTCCGCCCACGCTGACCTGATGGTGCAACGCAGAATTTGGAAAATGGCACCGGGATATCATTACAACCACACCTTGTTCCCAGGCACTCCTGAGCCAAAAAAACTGGTATGCTGTCGCAGCTGCCGACCCAGACCTCACCTCGCTATCGAGGACCAGGAAACAGGGAGGTGAGAGTGCAATTCGTGTTCAAGGTGCAAAAAGGTTCGAAGGGAAGGCGTAACTTTGGGAGGAAGATTACTTCCTGGACAGCTCTGATTGGCCCTGATGCTAACATATTACCTCTTCACATAGGTCCTCGAGTTGTTGGCCAATCGTGTCGAGCGCCACCACATTTGCGCCGGCGCGAGCAAGTGCTAAGGTCAGACCGTAGCCGATACCTGAAAGATCGTCATACGAATGCTTCAACCGTTAATCACGTAAAGAGAACATAAATGAAAGAAGCAGTAACCAGTCCCGTATTGGAGGTTTAATGGATTAGGGATCACAAAAGCACAAGAGCTCTTAGCTCGGCAAAGTGGAGATCCCCAATTTTTGGAAAAATCGAAATTTTTTTCAAAAACCGGAGTGGGCGGGGTCTCCTACGGGGGGCGGAGCTTTGCAGAGGAACTCCAGTTTCCCTTTCGCTCACCCGGGGCGGGGCTTGGTACCATATGGGCGCGTTCCAGCGGACCTAATGACCCAGTCGCTCACTGGGGCGGCGTGCGGACCTAGTGACACACTTGGGCGGGATCTTGCTGCCGCTTCGGGCGGAATTTCCACCTGAGCGGACCTAGCGACACATTCGGGAGGAAAACTGGCAAAAAGGCGCTCTTTCGGCCGAGATTTCTGGCTGAGCGGACCTAACGACACACCTGGGAGACTGGCGAAGAAGGCGCCTTCTTCAGGCGAAGTTGTCGAAAAGAGCACTTCGAATCAAAATTTTCTAGATTCCATAGTACGCCGCCGAGAGGAGGGGAAACTTCTGGAAAAATTCGAGGTCCCAAATAAAGTTCAGCAGATAATAAAAGGCCACACAAATTCCAGAACAATCAGCACCAGAACAGGCTGTGACCCATCCCACCTCGGAGAGGTTACAGAAAAGCTAGGCGTTGGCAAATCCACTGTTGCGGATGGTCTGAAACGCATTGGGAAGGTGAAAATTCGACAAGTGTCGTGACCGGCAGAAATTGGCACGTCTCGAGGTTTCTTCTTCACTGCTTTTGCGCAACAGAAACGACCCGTTTTTGGACCGAATTGTCACCTGTGATGAAAGTGATCATGTGTGATAACAGGAGATGTTCCGGACAGTGGTTGGATGCCGACGAACCACCGAGGCAATTTCCAAAGCCGAATCCTCACGAAAAAAAGATTATGGTCACAGTGTGGTGGTCATCGGCTGGTGTGATCCACTATAACTTTTGTCACCAGGCCAAACCATCACAGCAGAGTCCTACTGTGAACGACGGAATGTATCGAAAATTGCCACGAAAAAAATAATAGGTCGACAGTGTAGTGGTCGATCGGCTTGCGTCAGCTGCAGCCAGCACTTGTCAACAGAAAGGGTCCGATTCTTTTGCATGACAACGCCCGCCCACACGTTTCACAAATCACTATCCATAAATTGAACGAATTGGGGTTGAAGTTCTACCTCACCCTCCAGACCTTTCACCAACCGACTATCACCTTTTCAAACATTTTCAGAACTTCCTTGCTGGAAAATACTTCATCAATCAGGACCAGGCAAAAAAGCCTTCGTGGATTTCGTGGATTCTCGACCACCCAGTTTTTCTTTGATGGGATTTATCGACTGGTGTCACATTGGCAAAAGTGTGCTGATTCGAATGGTGCTTATTTCGATTGAAATCCGATGAGTATTAAGAAAGTTATGATCGTTTAAAGTGAAACACTCAAAACGCTGAGAACTTTCCGGACAACCTAATACTACTGGCTCAGCCTATATCGCAAAGAAGATCTGCATCACTTGGAAAATGAAGGCACACTCAAGGGTTTGGAGGTCTGAGGTGAGGGCACTATATGTAGCTTCCTTCATCCCAGTGAAGCGATCGCGGCAACGAATTATGTACAGGAAATCGCGGTGCACCTGTACTATGCGGTAGCACTCTTCAGTAGTCACTTCCTGTGACAATGACAATTTCACAACGACTAGGCAGTTTCGTTTCACAAGGTATCGGGAGATGAGATTCTCGTCTAAGCCGTATGAGACAACCAATCCCTTCTTTTAGAAGGATGTTTTTGCATCCCCAGAAAAGTGATTCGAACACTGTCTTTTTCTTTCCAGAACTCAAGTATCAGAGGCTTATTAGATAGAATATGACTCGTACAACGACTCGTAAGGGCCAGCAGATTAAGAAATGCGTGTTCGCCAATATATCTAACCGAAGGCATTAGATTCGTTGTCCATCTGCACGACATTTGAGCTCCGGACAGCGGGCGTGGACACACGGTGTCAGTCGCCTCTGCAACCACCTCCGTCGATTTGAAGATAGATATCAAAAAACTGCATTATTTTTGAACAAGGAAACAGTAGTTTCTTTCAAGCCGGCCTCTATGTGTCTTCCCTGTATACATGCCTCTTTTCGAATTACTGCTGACTTACCTTGAGCAGCTCCTGTGACGAGGGCTCGTTTGCCTTGAAAATCAAACGATACACTCATCTGCGGAATAGCAAATGATTGAACGTTCTTCAATGGACTGCTTATTAATGGCGTTTAGTGGCAGTGATTTCATATCAATCATCAGCTCTTGACTATACATGTTGAAGCGTTTGAAGAGTGCTGACCCAGTTAGTTTGCTTTTAGTATGTACGGAATTCAGAGCGCCACGATCGCGTAG